GGTGGCTTATTTAGCAGTTACAAGCACTAAAAACAATGGAATAATACAAAATATATCGCATGTATGCATGGAATCGTCTCACTGGCTTGTAAATAATGGCACACTACCTGTACATGGGCTCAGGCCGCACGGACACGTTCGGGGCGAATGTCCTTAACCGAGTTCTCGGGCATTAGCCGAGCCAAGATTTTGACGCAAAAACATGCCACAATCCGATTTTGGCGTTAGCCGATGCCGCCACTCCCCGAGGGGCCACTGTATGTATATACACACCCCTCTGGGTTTTCTTCTGTTTTTCTTACTAGCTCTTGTCCTTGTTTATTTCCTCTTATCTCCATGGGAAGGTGGAACAGAATTCTTCCTCCGTAAGCCATGTTTGTCATAAGAGGTGACTAAAATGCTGGGAGCAATGGGCTAGTAACCCCTTCTCCTGTATACAGTATATTACTAGAGTTAAAAAGAGAAACTTTTGTTTTTCATTTTGAGCCACCCTGCTTTGGTGGGATATGGCCGGTTTGTTGAAAGAAAGATTTATTTTTTATATAAAATATAGTAGGTTGGTAGACAGCAACCACCCAGGGAAGTACTACCGTCCTGCCAGATGACTGTGAAACAGAAACCTGTAACTGTTTTGCATGATGGTAGGATTGCTTGTTTCTTTTTCTGTCTCATAAACATGCTAGATAACAGGGATATCTTGCTACTCCTACTTACACTTTGGTCACACTTCACAGACACGCACATGCATATATATATACATACATCTAGGTTTTTCTCCTTTTTCTAAATAGCTCTTGTTCCTCTTTATTTCTTCGATTGTCCATGGGGAAGTGGAAAAGAATCTTTCCTCCGTAAGCCATGCGTGTCGTATGAGGCGACTAAAATGCCGGGAGCAATGGGCTAGTAACCCCTTCTCCTGTAGACATTTACTAAAAAAGAGAAGAAGAAAAACTTTATAAAACTGGGATGCTTAAATGTGCGTGGATGTAGTGTGGATGACAAGAAACAGATGATTGCTGATGTTATGAATGAAAAGAAGTTGGATGTCCTGGCCCTAAGCGAAACAAAGCTGAAGGGGGTAGGGGAGTTTCGGTGGGGGGAAATAAATGGGATTAAATCTGGAGTATCTGAGAGAGTTAGAGCAAAGGAAGGGATAGCAGTAATGTTGAATGATCAGTTATGGAAGGAGAAAAGAGAATATGAATGTGTAAATTTAAGAATTATGTGGATTAAAGTAAAGGTTGGATGCGAGAAGTGGGTCATAATAAGCGTGTATGCACCTGGAGAAGAGAGGAATGCAGAAGAGAGAGAGAGATTTTGGGAGATGTTAAGTGAATGTATAGGAGCCTTTGAACCAAGTGAGAGAGTAATTGTGGTAGGGGACCTGAATGCTAAAGTAGGAGAAACTTTTAGAGAGGGTGTGGTAGGTAAGTTTGGGGTGTGCCAGGTGTAAATGATAATGGGAGCCCTTTGATTGAACTTTGTATAGAAAGGGGTTTAGTTATAGGTAATACATATTTTAAGAAAAAGAGGATAAATAAGTACAGTATACAAGATATGATGTAGGGCGAAATGACAGTAGTTTGTTGGATTATGTATTGGTAGATAAAAGACTGTTGAGTAGACTTCAGGATGTACATGTTTATAGAGGGGCCACAGAAAATATCAGATCACTTTCTAGTTGTAGCTACACTGAGAGTAAAAGGTAGATGGGATACAAGGAGAATAGAAGCATCAGGGAAGAGAGAGGTGATGGTTTATAAACTAAAAAAGGAGGCAGTTAGGGTAAGATATAAACAGCTATTGGAGGATAGATGGGCTAATGAGAGCATAGGCAATGGGATCGAAGAGGTATGGGGTAGGTTTAAAAATGTAGTGTTAGAGTGTTCAGCAGAAGTTTGTGGTTACAGGAAAGTGGGTGCGGGAGGGAAGAGGAGCGATTGGTGGAATGATGATGTGAAGAGAGTAGTAAGGGAGAAAAAGTTAGCATATGAGAAGTTTTTACAAAGTAGAAGTGATGCAAGGAGGGAAGAGTATATGGAGAAAAAGAGAGAGGTTCAGAGAGTGGTGAAGCAATGTAGAAAGAGAGCAAATGAGAGAGTGGGTGAGATGTTATCAACAAATTTTGTTGAAAATAAGAAAAAGTTTTGGAGTGAGATTAACAAGTTAAGAAAGCCTAGAGAACAAATGGATTTGTCAGTTAAAATAGGAGAGGAGAGTTATTAAATGGAGAGTTTTGACGTATTGGGAAGATGGAGGGAATATTTTGAGGAATTGTTAAATGTTGATGAAGATAGGGAAGCTGTGATTTTTGTGTATAGGGCAAGGAGGAACAACATCTTGTAGGAGTGAGGAAGAGCCAGTTGTGAGTGTGGGGGAAGTTCGTGAGGCAGTAGGTAAAATGAAAGGGGGTAAGGCAGCCGGGATTGATGGAATAAAGATAGAAATGTTAAAAGCAGGTGGGGATATAGTTTTGGAGTGGTTGGTGCAATTATTTAATAAATGTATGGAAGAGGGTAAGGTACCTAGGGATTGGCAGAGAGCATGCATAGTTCCTTTGTATAAAGGCAAAGGGGATAAAATAGAGTGCAAAAATTATAGGGGGATAAGTCTGTTGAGTATACCTGGCAAAGTGTATGGTAGAGTTATTATTGAAAGAATTAAGAGTAAGACGGAGAATAGGATAGCAGATGAACAAGGAGGCTTTAGGAAAGGTAGGGGGTGTGTGGACCAGGTGTTTACAGTGAAACATATAAGTGAACAGTATTTAGATAAGGCTTAAGAGGTCTTTGTGGCATTTATGGATTTGGAAAAGGCGTATGACAGGGTGGATAGGGGGGCAATGTGGCAGATGTTGCAGGTGTATGGTGTAGGAGGTAGGTTACTGAAAGCAGTGAAGAGTTTTTACGAGGATAGTGAGGCTCAAGTTAGAGTATGTAGGAAAGAGGGAAATTATTTCCCAGTAAAAGTAGGCCTTAGACAAGGATGTGTGATGTCACCATGGTTGTTTAATATATTTATAGATGGGGTTGTAAGAGAAGTAAATGCGAGGGTCTTGGCAAGAGGCGTTGAGTTAAAAGATAATCATACATAAAGTGGGAGTTGTCACAGTTGCTCTTTGCTGATGACACTGTGCTTTTGGGAGATTCTGAAGAGAAGTTGCAGAGATTGGTGGATGAATTTGGTAGGGTGTGCAAAAGAAGAAAATTGAAAGTGAATACAGGAAAGAGTAAGGTTATGAGGATAACAAAAAGATTAGGTGATGAAAGATTGGATATCAGATTGGAGGGAGAGAGTATGGAGGAGGTGAATGTATTCAGATATTTGGGAGTGGACGTGTCAACGGATGGGTCTATGAAAGATGAGGTGAATCATAGAATTGATGAGGGGAAAAGGGTGAGTGGTGCACTTAGGAGTCTGTGGAGACAAAGAACTTTGTCCTTGGAGGCAAAGAGGGGAATGTATGAGAGTATAGTTTTACCAACGCTCTTATATGAGTGTGAAGCATGGGTGATGAATGTTGCAGCGAGGAGAAGGCTGGAGGCAGTGGAGATGTCATGTCTGAGGGCAATGTGTGGTGTGAATATAATGCAGAGAATTCGTAGTTTGGAAGTTAGGAGGAGGTGCGGGATTACCGAAACTGTTGTCCAGAGGGCTGAGGAAGGGTTGTTGAGGTGGTTCGGACATGTAGAGAGAATGGAGCGAAACATAATGACTTCAAGAGTGTGTCAGTCTGTAGTGGAAGGAAGGCGGGGTAGGGGTCAGCCTAGGAAAAGTTGGAGGGAGGGGGTAAAGGAGGTTTCGTGTGCGAGGGGCTTGGACTTCCAGCAGGCATGCGTGAGCGTGTTTGATAGGAGTGAATGGAGACAAATGGTTTTTAATACTTGACGTGCTGTTGGAGTGTGAGCAAAGTAACATTTATGAAGGGGTTCAGGGAAACCGGCAGGCTGGACTTGAGTCCTGGAGATGGGAAGTACAGTGCCTGCACTCTGAAGGAGGGGTGTTTATGTTGCAGTTTAAAAAACTGTAGTGTAAAGCACTCTTCTGGCAAGACAGTGATGGAGTGAATGATGGTGAAAGTTTTTCTTTTTCGGGCCACCCTGCCTTGGTGGGAATCGGCCAGTGTGATAATAAAAAATAAAAAAAATTCAGATTTTTTGCTACAGTTTTGCAGTGGCAATTACACTTGCTTTCTTGGGTTATCCTAGTTTTTTTTTTACACAAATCTATTGTATAAGCTAAGAGCTACCTCAACTCATTTCAGTGCCCAGCCCTGTTTAAGGCATACTCCCACCCCTAAGGATGTGACCCAAAACAGTCTACTAACATCCATGAACCTACTTATTGATAAGTGAAAAGGGACAGCAGATGTAAAGAAACATGCCTAGCATTTCCATCTGTGCTAGGTATTGAATCACAGGCACTTGGTATGAGAGCTGCCAGCTGAGCCATGAGCCCTACTAATATATTTTTGTAGTATGTAATTTGTTTAATGCTAATATTGTAGAAATTTAAGTCTTGGTGGAAAAAATGGCATACATATACAGTGGACCCCCAGCTTACGATATTATTTCATTCCAGAAGTATGTTCATGTGCCATTACTGAACGAATTTGTTCCCATAAGGAATATTGTGAATTAGATTAGTCCATTTCAGACCCCCAAACATACACATACAAATGCACTTACATAAATACACTTACATAATTGGTCGCATTGGGAGCTGATCGTAAACCGGGGGTCAACTGTATATAGACGATACTGACAAGTTGTTGGAAAAACTACAAACACTAGAACATTTTATTGAAATGTTTTGATCCTGGGATGTTAGCCACTTTAAATGTGCATATGGGTAAGAAGAAATGAGCTTGTATATATTGCTAGGAAAGCACCTGAGTGGCAGAGGTGATTGAAAGATCTTGAGTAACTTTAAAATTAGTTGGACAAATGTCTTAATATAAATCAGAGAGATTTATCCTATAGATAATTTCATATTTACAGATATGATGTCCGTGGTGCTGTGTGTGATCTGACTGAAGTTGAGGCAAGTAGCAAAGGAGACCAGTTGGAAGAGATGACAGAGGAGGAACGAGCAGAAGAAGAAAGATGTGACTATGAACGCTATTTTGCGCTCTATCATGATGAGTATCAGTATCAAGCTTACCAAGGTAAGTAAACATATATAGTGTATTCATGAACTAAAATACTGTATTTCCAGAATTTTTCATGCAAATTTTAATTTTTTTTCCTATAATATGGGAAAGGCTTATGTCTTCAGTGATTTGTCATTAAAGTCTTAATGACAAGCATAGTACAGTATTTTTATTAGAACACAACTGTTGCTGAAATTTGGCAAGTTTCCAGGAAGATAGTTTTTAATATTGTACATACTGTTTGTAGGATTGCATGATCTAAATATATCCTAATGAAGCTAGAAAGAAACATTTTAATTAGTAGTACAGTATATCTGAATATTGCAGATTGTGCCAGGTTTCATTGTTTTTGTTCAAAGTGATAATGAAGTTTAATATAATTTCTTGCTAACCTGTTTAGGATTTTATTTTTACCTTTCTCTCCATTCAATTTAATGTGTGCTTAATACGTGACTTTTCAGGTGTCTCTTGAATGGGTATGTTGCGAGACCAATTTTTGGTCCTTTTATCAAACATGCAATATTTCTCATAAGTATTTTTTCATTGAACTAGATTATTATGCAGTTTTTAAGGTATATTAATTTTCTTTCACTCAGATGAGGAAGCAAAGAGATTAATGGCAGAACTTGGTTCTGATGTATATGCCTACAGTCAAGTAGGTTTCAACTATGATGGACAAGTACCAGTGAGTGAGGCAGTTGGCTTGACTGAAGAGCATGGTGCTGAACAACTTCAGGATGAAAACCATCAAACTGTAGATAAAGAAGAACAAACTACCGGGTATTTTCCAGAGGCTGATGAGGATACATTTATCCCTCCTCCTGAACTCAGTGTTCCACAAGGAATGGTAGTGGTAAGTCTTTGAAGGTTTTTGATACAGAGACTTTGACTACACATTGCATAAACAGGTTGATATACATCACTAATCCGGCATCATCGGGACCTATGGGGTGCCAGATAAGTGATTTTGCTGGATTACAGCGTGGTTAGGTTAGAATACACTTAATGGCGATTCTTACACATTGGTGATTTAACCTAATTTAGGTCCTATTTTTGGCCTATTCCATTGTTTGTCTACCAAACTCATAGCTATTTAGCTAATATTCCTTCTATTCTGTCAATTGAATACATACAAGAAACCACCCATTTACTTATCAGCCCAGCTAATCAATCACTGACTTCAAGTGTCTGTTTGGCACCTTCTTGAAGACAGCCAGGGGTCTAATGTTAATCCCCCTTATGTATTGTGGGAGGCAGTTCAACAGTCTTGGGCCCGAGACACTGACTGTGTTTTCTCTTAGCATACTCTTGGTGCCCTGCTTTTCATTGGGGGAATGTTGCATCTCCTGCCCAGTCATTTACTCTTGTAGGGAGTGATTTTCGTGTGCAAATTCATGACTAGCCCCTCAGATTTTCCAAGAATATATATTATCATGTATCTTTCTTGCCTGCATTTCAGGGAATACAAGTCAAGGGACTTCAACCATTCCCAGTAATTTAGGTGCTTTATCGTACTTAGGCGTACCCTTCCAGATCTGCAATTTCACTTTCAAAACTGGGGATGCCAATCCCTAGTTTTGAAGGTTCTCATTATCCATCCTATCATTTTTATAGCCAGTGTGTTAGATACAATGTTATTATCTTTGAAAATGAGATCCTCTGACATTATCACTCCCAGGTCCTTCACATTAGTTTTTTGCTCTGTTGTGTAGTAAGGTATTGACTGATGTCTCTCACATCTGATTTTCAGTGCTTGAGAAACCACAATGTACAATGATTCATCTTTATTTTTGCTTAAACTTGACATACCAGCATGAAACTGGGTGTAACGTCAATAAATATTTGGTGTAATCTAGCAAATTCTTAATGTGCAACTTGAATTTCTGGAAGGTAATTGGTCTAGTGCTAAATCTGCTAATGAAACGCTGTATAGGAAAGGGCAAATTTTTTTAATTAAATCCGTCAGACTTTTCGAAGCCCCAACAGAAGATATTGCCAGCCCTAATGACATTTACTAGTGCTGTAAATAATTTTTTTTATATTTTCCCCTCATAAATAGTGTAATTATCATAATTTTTGGTAGTTAGACTGCATTCAAGTATTTTCATAAAATCAGAACTACAGTGGACCCCCGGTTATTGGCCGTAATCAGTTCCAGAAGGTTGGTCTAAATCCGAAATGGCCAAAAACCGAAGTAATATTTCCCCATAAGAAATAATGTAAATCAAATTAATCCGTTCCAGACACCCAAAAATATTAACAAAAAATACATTTTTTAAAGAATACTTATAGTTTTACATACAGAAAACAATGAGAAAGAAATATAAAACAGTAGTAATTTTAATAATAAATGAACATTACATACCTTTCTGGAAAAAGGAGGGGAGAGGGAGGAGAGCTTATTGTTTGGAAGGAGAATCCCCCTCAGTAAGGACTTGAGGTATCAATGCCCTCTCTGGGGTTACTTCCTTTCCGGTTTTTACTGGCACTAGGACCAGCTTGAGTCACTGTACCCTTGTCGCACAAAAAAATCTGTCCAGAGAGGCCTGTTTCTAGCGTCTCTGTAAAATTGGCCTAAAATGGGATAAGACATTGTCATTGAACATGTTGCAGACACGGCTTGAAACAGTTTTGTCGGGGTGATAATTCTCTGAAAAACTTTGCACCTCACTCCACTTTGTACAAATGTCCTTAATCACTGAAGAAGGCACATTCTCTCCCCTCTCTTCCTCCTCTGAAGCAATGTCCTCAGCTGCAGTCTGTTGCTGTTCCTATTCCTATTGAAGTTGTTGCAGCTCTTCAGTGGTTAGCTCTTCCCTGTGGTCATCCACCAACTCTTCTATATCCTGGCCACTCACATCCAACCTCATGGACTTCCCCATTGAAGCAATAGATTCCACAAAAGGTGTAGGGTCATCAGGGTCAGCCTCAAACCCTTCAAAATCCTTGTCGAGGATGCATTCTGGCCACAGTTTTCTCCAAGCAGAGTTCAAAAGTCCTGGAAGTCACTCCCTGTCAAGCCTTATCTATAAGGCTTATGCAATGGAAGATATTGAAGTGATTCTTCAGAACTCTCTTAGGGTCAGTTTAGTGTCCGAGGTCACTTCAAAGCACCTTTGAAACATTGCTTTGGTGTGCAGTTTTTTGAAGTTTGAAATGACCTGCTGGTCCATGGGCTGGATGAGAGGAATGGTATTAGGGGATAGTGTGATGAACTTACACTCCTCAAACAATAGGTCTTCCAAGTCTGGAGGATGAGCAGGAGCATTGTCCAGTACCAGGAGGCACTTAAGTGGCATTTTGTTTTCCAGGAGGTATTTTTTCACACTTGGGCCAAACACTTCGTTGACCCACTCAGTGAAAATTTGCCTTGTGACCCATGCCTTATTGTTAGCCCTCCACATCACACATAATTTACTCTTCATGATATTGTTTTTCTTGAACACTGGGATTTTCAGAGTGATACACAAGTAAAGGCTTCACTTTGAAATCCCCACTAGCATTACCACGGAACAAAAGAGTTAGCCTTTCCTTCATAGGCTTGTGTCCTGCCAGTGCCTTTTCCTCCTGTGTGATGTAGATCCTCTCTGGCATTTTCTTCCAAAAAAGGCCTGTTTCATTACAATTGAACACTTGCTGGGGAGGAATCCTTCAGCTTCTACGTAATCCTTGAATTCATGCACGAATTCTTCAGTCGCATGTTTGTCCAAGCTTGCAGCATCACCATGCCTTGCAACACTGTGTATGCCACTACTCTTCTTGAATCTGTCGAACCAACCTTTGCTGGCCTTAAATTCATTAACAGCAACAATCGTTCCAGGCATTTTCTTTAAGAGATCCACATGCAGTTGCCTTGCCTTCTCGCGAATTATCTCCTCCGAAACACTATCTCCCACTAATTGTTTTTGGTTGATCCACACCAACAACTCCACATCCTCAATTGTTTGAGACCTCTGTTTTGTTAGCATATTTGCACCTTTCACAACATCAGCTGCCTTGATTTCTGCTCCTCCACACGTACACCACTTTTATATTTTGCGATAACTTCTTTCTTGAATTTTATCGTGTTTCTCACCTTCTTTACCAAAAGGCTGGCACTCTGAACTTTTCTTTGGCCCCATGGTGGCTTATTTCACAGTTGCAATCAGTTAACAAGCCCCAAAAACAATGGATGAAAGCACAGAGTATTCCTACCCCAACAAGAGAGACGCACAGGCCGAGTGTGATATGCGTGAGGAAGTGGGTTGCTGGCGGGTGGACGCGTCTCATACCAGCGATTTCTGAGCAGATGGCTGATATCCGGGGGGGGGGAGATTTTGCTGAAAAAGTGTTTGATTTCCGAATTGGCCGATTTCTACACTGGCCTATATCCGGGGGTCCACTGTATATTAACCCTTTGAGGGTTTCGGACGTACTAGTACGGCTTACGACCCAGGGTTTTTGACGTACTAGTACGCCTAAATTCTAGCGCCCTCAAATCTAGTGGGAGAAAGCTGGTAGGCCTTCATATGAAAGAATGGGTCTATGTGGTCAGTGTGCACAGTCTAAAAAAAATCCTGCAGCACACAGTGCATAATGAGAAAAAAAAAACTGACCATTTTTTTGGAATAAAACAGCAACTTTGGACTGTATTTTCGTATGGTATTTATTGTTGTATTCTAGTTTTCTTGGTCTCATTTTATAGAATGGAAGACATATTACAGAAATTGAGATGATTTTGACTGGTTTTACAATGAAATATACCTTGAAATTGAGCTCAAAGTAGCAAAAATGTTCGATTTTTACCAAATTTCAAAAGTAAACAAATCGTGCCAAGCGTGCAATACACGTCAACTGGTGAGTCTAATATTCTTTCACAAGTGCACCAATAATATTTATACCATTTTTTACACTAATGCAGTAGTCTGCTTAACAGTAAATCTTATATTTTTTGTGAGAATAAAAATTCAAAGTGGAAAGCAAAAGAATATAAGAGGGGCCTTGAGACGTGACTAATGACCAGAGGAAATGTCATTTTAGTGCCAGGAATGTCTTTCTTGTTTATTCTGGACCCTATTCGGAAATTGGCATCTTTTGAAATTTGTGTGAAATTGGCAAAATTGCTAAATTCTGACCACTGTACTGGATAGTTGAATTTCATAAATAGGTGGTTTCTTGCACCCATTCGATAGAAAAAATGGAGTTCTAGCGAAATATTCATGTTTTTTGTCGACTAGTACAGTGGAATTGGCCGAAAATGGGGCTCAAAGTGGGCAAAATCGCCGAGACCGCTAACTTTGCGAGAGCATAATTCCGTAAGTTTTCCATCAAATTTCAAACTTTTGGTGTCCTTATGATCGGGAAAAGATTCTCTATCTTTTCATAAGAGAAAATAATTTTTTTTTTTTTTAAATTTGGCCGACCCTGAGAACGAGTTTCGGAGAGGGCCTGTCGACCCTCAAAGGGTTAATTAACATGTCCAAAATGCTTATTATTTTTTGCAACTTCTTTCACATTTGACAAACGGCTTTTCTTCCTCAGCCAGAGACAGTGAAACAAAACAAGATTATTGTGAAGACATCAAAGTTCATTGTTACTCAGGGAGGACAGATGGAAATTGTGATAAAGACCAAACAAGCTGGCAACCCTATGTTTAGCTTCTTATCATTTGATAATCCACTTAATGCTTATTATAAGCACATGGTGGCAATGATCAAGAATGGCAGGTAAGCCTTTTCCCCCTACTTAAAAATTAATTTCTCTATTTACACTTGTGATAATGAATCCTTCATATTAATCTTTTTTTTTTTTTTTTGTAATGGGGTTATTCACTTGGTTTCTTAATTTGCTAACTACTGTTTTAAGGGAATCTTACAACATTATTGTAATTCAGCTTTGCTGTATGTACCGTATAATTTTTATTAATACAAAATTAATTTCTTTAAGGTATCGTCCTGCTGATGAAGTTGAACGGGTAAAGTCTAGAAGAGAGAGTGATGGAAATGGGGGTCAGTATCTACACCCAAGTCTTTCAGCAGGCATTAAACCAGATCTTGCTCCAGGGACCCCTACTCCTGTTCACAGACCATCTGCAGACTGTGCATACTCAAAGTTAATTCACAAAATTAAGGAAAAACAAAAAAATACAGCAGTAGTAGAACGTATTGACTCCCCAGCTCCAACTTCTCCCAGTGTTCCTATTCCTACTGCTGTGTCCACACCCATTGCCACACCAGCAACAGTAGTCCTTGAACCACAAAATCAGGATAAAAAGAAAGTCCTGTCAGATATCACACCTGTTGGATCACCCAAAATTACAAGCTTAGTTGATTATCCTTCATTCAACCGAACCAAAGAATGTGATTCTGACGATGACCTAGATGGCAAATCTGAAAGTTTGACAAGTAATACTGAAAGCACTAGTGAATATAGCAGTATAAAGTGGCCTCCACCAGATGTCCAAATGGTAATTGACAAGATGGCAAGCTACATAATAAAGAATGGAGCAGATTTTGAAGCTATGGTGCGCAGCAGAGGTGAGTAGCTTGACATGTTGATATAACTGCATTTCTTCTTTTTGTTTTTAGTGAGCTATATGGGAAAAGGGGTTACTAGCCCATTGCTCCCAGCATTTTAGTTGACTTTTACAACACGCATGGCTTACGGAGGAAAGATTCTCATTCCACTCCCTCATGGATATGAAAAGAAAAGTAATACGAACAAGAACTATTAAGATAAAATCAAAGAAAACTCAGATGAGTATACATGAATGTGTACATGCATGTGTAGTGTAACCTAAGTGTAAGTAGAAGTAGCAAGACGTAACTGAAATCTTCCGTGCTTATGAGATGGAAAAAAAGATACCACCATTCCTACCATCATGTAAAACAATTACAGACTTCCGTTTTACACTCACTTGGTAGGATGGTGGTACCTCCCTGGGTGGTTGCTGTCTACCAACCTACTACATCATAAAAGAGGTGTTTGGGATATTGGCAGATTGGAGTGACTATCTAAACTGTTGTATCTATGCACCTCTGCAAAGACTGATCATTTATGAAAAATTGCAAAACTGTCAGCTCTTAAGGGAAAAATTTAAGGGAAAGGGTTGTCACTCACATAGGTCTCTTTGGATGAAGTTGGTTCCTTAGCTGTGAAGCTGTTTTAAAAATGTATTTAGCACTGATACACATTACAGATTTAGTACTGTTATTAAGAATAACACAAAGTTGGAGTTGTCATAGTTGCTTTTTGTTGATGATGATGCGCTTTTGGGGATTCCGAAGAGAAGTTGCAGAGGTTGGTGACGGTTTGGAGGGGTATGTAAAAGAAGGAAATTGAAAGTGAACATAGGAAAGAGTAGGGTGATGAGGATAGAAAAAAAATTAGGTAATGAAGAATTGGATTTCAGATTGGAGGGAGGGAGTATGGAAGAAGTGAAGGTATTCAGATATTTGAGAGTGGACTTGTCAGCAGCTGGGTCTGCGAAGATGGCGTGAATCATACAATTGATTAGGGGGAAAAGGTGAGTGGTGCATTGAAGCAAAGAGGGAAATGTATGAGATTATAGTTATACCAAATCTTATATGGGTGTGAAGCATGGGTGGTGAATGTTGCAACAGGTAGAAGACTGGAGGCAATGGGGATATGGTTTTTATGACTTGATGTGCTGTTAAAGCGTGAGCAGGGTAACAATTATGAAGGAATTTAGGGAAACCGGTAAACTGAGTTTGAGTCTTGGCATGCAGTGCCTGTACTCTGGAGGAGGACTGATACAGTTATTTAACTGTAGTGTAGGTGTGCCTCTGACAAAACAGTGATGGAGTGAATGATGAAAGTGTTTCTTCTTTTTTGGGTCACCCTGCCTTGGTAGTGTTAATAAAAAATAAAATAATTATTTAAGAGAATACAATGAGGTGCTGTATTGTTTTCTTGTTGAATTTTTCCAAGTAAAATGGTAGCAATTAATAAACTTGTATTTCTTACAGATGATCCCAGATTCAGCTTCCTCAAAACAGAGCACGAGTACTATCCCTATTACCGATGTAAGATTCGCCTGTACAATGAAGTATATGGAGATATTTTCAAGGAGGGAGGAGAGGTGAGGATATGTATTTATTCAGTGTTTAAATTTATTAGGGATGGACCATGGTATCTGTTTCAGCCATTTTTACTGTATTGGTGAAAAATTTTCAATACAGCCTCTCCTCACTTAGTGACGTACTCATTTACTGACATCTCAAACTTACGCCACGCTCTCTGACCAGTATGCATACCTAAATAATGTATATTAGAGCTGCCTGTATTCTGTTTACTACAATAAACAGTACATTATTGTATAAACATTTAAAAATTTACCAGAAATGGTGTAACTGGTGCAAAGGTGACCTTAAAACATCAAAGAAGGTTGACACAAATTCACTACAGTTATAATAAGCTCCTCACTTAGTGATGAATTTGTTTACTGATGTGGTTTAAGGAACGGAACTCCATCATTAAGTGAGGAGAGGCTGCATTAATTAATAAATAAATAAATAAATAAATAAAAAAATATATATATATATGTGGTGTAAATATTATGCAGAAAATTCGGAGTGTGGAAATTAGGAGAAGGTGTGGAGTTAATAAAAGTATTAGTCAGAGGGCAGAAGAGGGGTTGTTGAGGTGGTTTGATCATTTAGAGAGAATGGATCAAAGTAGAATGACATGGAAAGTATATAAATCTATAGGGGAAGGAAGGCGGGGTAGGGGTCGTCCTCGAAAGGGTTGGAGAGAGGGGGTAAAGGAGGTTTTGTGGGCAGGGGCTTGGACTTCCAGCAAGCGTGCGTGAGCGTGTTAGATAGGAGTGAATGGAGACGAATGGTACTTGGGACCTGACGATCTGTTGGAGTGTGAGCAGGGTAATATTTAGTGAAGGGATTCAGGGAAACCGGTTATTTTCATATAGTCGGACTTGAGTCCTGGAAATGGGAAGTACAATGCCTGCACTTTGGGGGAGGGGTTTGGGATATTGGCAGTTTGGAGGGATATGTTGTGTGTCTTCATATGTGTATGCTTCTGGACTGTTGTATTCTGTGCACCTCTGCAAAAACGGTGATAATGTGCGAGTGGTGAAAGTGTTGAATGATGATGAAAGTATTTTCTTTTTGGGGATTTTCTTTCTTTTTTTTTTTTTGGGTCACCCTGCCTCGGTGGGAAACGGCCGACTTGTTGAAAAAAAAAAAAAAAAATCTCCAAAAAGAAAATACTTTCATCATCATGCAACACTTTCACCACACTCACACATTATCACTGTTTTTGCAGAGGTGCTCAGAATACAACAGTTTAGAAGCATACACATATAAAGATACACAACATATCCCTCCAAACTGCCAATATCCCAAATCCCTCCTTTAATGTGCAGGCATTGTACTTCCCATTTCCAGGACTCGAGTCCGACTATAAGAAAATAACCGGTTTCCCTGAATCCCTTCACTAAATATTACCCTGCTCACACTCCAACAGATCGTCAGGTCCCAAGTATCATTCGTCTCCATTCACTCCTATCTAACACGCTCATGCACCCTTGCTGGAAGTCCAAGCCCCTCACCCACAAAACCTCCTTTACCCCCTCTTTCCAACCCTTTCGAGGACGACCCCTACCCCTCTTTCCTTCCCCTATTGATTTATATGCTTTCCATGTCATTCTACTTTGATCCATTCTCTCTAAATGACCAAACCACCTCAACAACCTTCTTCTGCCCTCTGACTAATGCTTTTATTAACTCCACACCTTCTCCTAATTTCCACACTCCGAATTTTCTGCATAATATTTACACCACACATTGCCCTTAGACAGGACATCTCCACTGCCTCCAACCGTCTCCTCGCTGCTGCATTTACCACCCAAGCTTCACATCCATATAAGAGTGTTGGTACTACTATACTTTCATACATTCCCTTCTTTGCCTCCATAGATAACGTTTTTTGACTCCACATATACCTCAACGCACCACTCACCTTTTTTCCCTCATCAATTCTATGATTAACCTCATCCTTCATAAATCCATCCGCCGACATGTCAACTCCCAAGTATCTGAAAACATTCACTTCTTCCATACTCCTCCCCAATTTGATATCCAATTTTTCTTTATCTAAATCATTTGATACCCTCATCACCTTACTCTTTCTATGTTCACTTTCAACTTTTTACCTTTACACACATTCTCAAACTCATCCACTAACCTTTGCAATTTTTCTTTAGAATCTCCCATAAGCACAGTATCATCAGCAAAAAGTAACTGTGTCAATTCCCATTTTGAATTTGATTCCCCATAATTTAATCCCACCCCTCTCCCGAACACCCTAGCATTTACTTCTTTTACAACCCCATCTATAAATATATTAAACAACCATGGTGACATTACACATCCCTGTCTAAGACCTACTTTTACTGGGAAGTAGTCTCCCTCTCTTCTACACACCCTAACCTGAGCCTCACTACCCTCATAAAAGCTCTTTACAGCATTTAGTAACTTACCACCTATTCCATAAACTTGCAACATCTGCCACATTGCTCCTCTATCCACTCTATCATATGCCTTTTCTAAATCCATAAATGCAATAAAAACTTCCCTACCTTTATCTAAATACTGTTCACATATATGCTTCAATGTAAACACTTCATCTACACATCCCCTACCCACTCTGAAGCCTCCTTGCTCATCCGCAATTCTACATTCTGTCTTACCTCTAATTCTTTCAATTATAACTCTACCGTATACTTTTCCTGGTATACTCAGTAAACTTATTCCTCTATAATTTTTACAATCTCTTTTGTCCCCTTTCCCTTTATATAAAGGAACTATGCACGCTCTCTGCCAATCCCTAGGTACCTTCCCTCTTTCATACATTTATTAAACAAAGTACCAACCACTCCAACACTATATCCCCCCTGCTTTTAACATTTCTGTCATGACCCATCAGTTCCAGCTGCTTTACCCCCTTTCATTCTATGTAATGCCTCACGTACCTCCACCACACTTATATTCTGCTCTTCTTCACTCCTAAAAGATGGTATACCTCTCTGGCCAGTGCATGAAATTACCGCCTCCCTTTCTTCCTCAACATTTAAAAGTTCCTCAAAATATTCTCGCCATACCTAATACTCCCTCCCCATCTACTAACTCCCCTACAGGTCATATGGTTGTATGCATTGATGTACATTCAGTAGAAGGAGTAGTCTGTTAGGTAGGTATTTAAAAAATTATAAAGTTTAGGATTGGGTTTTAGGTTTAATATTTATGTGTTATAATAGTGAGAAACATTTAAGATATACAATTTATAAGGTTCATATTCAGTATTTTAGTTGGTTTTGGTGAGGTAAGTGATCTTTGAGAAGAGAACATGAATTTATAAACATGTAGTGTTTTCTTTTATATTTACAGTAATGAATATCCAATTTTAGGGCCTTTTAATGTGCATTGAGTTTTGCCATAGGGTGAGATGGACACGAGGAACATCTAAAGAGTGATCTGTGCCTTGTGTTATGGTCATGTGTTCTGTTGAGGTGGCAAGGAGAGTTTGAGGGGAGGGTGAATATCAGAGTTAAGTGTTCTATGTATGTAATAGGTGCAGTAATAAGTATGATGTTTTTGTATGGTGAGTAGGTTTAGTGTATGAATATGGTGAGTGTGCTGCCTAATAGTGAGAATTATTCTAACTGCAGCTTTTGTTGGGTAATAAGTGGTCTGAGTGGTTACTTGTTGTTGAGACCCAATCACAAATTTCCATAGGTTAGATATGGGTAAATAAGAGAGTGATATAGGGCCAGATAGGGCTGACTGTGAGCATATACCGTATATCTTCGATAGTATGCCTACAGTCTGGGTAATTTTCTTAGAAATTTAGTTGTATATGAGTATGAAAATTTGAGTCTATTATCAAGGTGGATTCCTAAGATTTTTCCCACTGTTAGCCTTTGTGAAAGGTGATCCGTATACATTATGTTAAGAGGGACTAACTGAAGCTCTAGTTACCAAACTGAATGAAGTAGTTTTTGGTCAATGTTTCGTGTAAGTTTTGTTAAGTCCTCCATCCAGGTATATATTTTCTGTAAATTCGTAAATTACAGTATTGGCTAGCGTGACTGGGGCTCGGGTGGGAGAAGACGAATTGTATTTCAACTGCAAACAGTGTGGGTTTGAGTAATAGTGAAGCAATAGGTCGGTCAATACTGTATAGATAAAGATAAGAGGTCCAATGACACTTCCCTTCGGACACCAACTTTAAACTGTGTTGTATGCGAAGCAGCTTGCCCCATTTGCATACACATATGGCTTCTGTTGCTGAGGTATGACTTGAGGTAGTTGAGATTGCCCACTTATACCATAGAGTGACAATTTAACTTGGAGCAAGTCATTGTTAACTGTATCAAAAGGCTTTACGTAAGTCAATGAAGATCCCCAGTGGGAGCTACTTTTTTATCTCTGTAGCAGTGTATATATGTTCTAGCTTGTGTATAATAGGCATCATTAGTATTTTTAATTGGCCTGAATCAAATTGGCGAGGGTTGAGTATGTTTTTGGGAGATAAGGTAGATAGATACGTTTTATGAATTAATTTTCGAAGATTTTTGAGAGAGTATGTAAGTTGGATATTGGCCTATATTTATTCAACTCTGATTTGGTCACCACCTTTGTGGATCGGTGACCCCTTGCAATTTTGAGTACTGTAGGGAAGGTGGAAGATTCAATGGATTTTTAAAGAGTGTTGCAATGATGGTGATATCAATTGTTGTGACACTTTTTTTGTATATAAAGGTTGTAAGGGTATTTAAATGTCCTGCCTTGTTTTTAGTGTTTTGATAACAGGGAAACTTCGTATGGGTTAGTCAAGCTAGGAAACATTGGTGTTCGGGTAGTTTGCCCGGGAAGTAGTCATTTGGTGGGGTAATCTGAGTTGGGATTTTATGCAAGGTTTTGTCCTCTAGTTGTAGAAGAAGTCATTGAGTCTGTTTGCTGTTTCTGTTGGTGGGCGTGGGGTTTCATCTGATTTTGCTAAATTTTTATTTCGCTATTCGTGATATCTTTTTTGTTCCTAGCGTAATTTTCTGATAGGGTT